TTTACTTAAAAAAATTTTTTTTCTTAGTAACTGCAATACTACCCCTATTCTGGTATCTTTTGAGGAGAATCTTGCCTGTGTTGGCTGGTCTTCCCTTGGCCCATGTGCAAGCACTCTGTCAGGCTAGTGGCCTTTTCAGAGTACTTAACTTTTCCCCAGCAGGGTTTCAGTCCCCGCTCCAGCTTCAGAACACATGGCTTTTAACTGACAGTTCTCCCACCAAGGGACCTTTTCATAGTGAGTGGTCCTGCAGGATTTATGGGAGTCGCCAGCACTCTGCAGATCCCTTTCGGTTGGTGATTGCAGTTTGTAAGCAAGCACCGTAGGCAAATGAGAAAGCTGTTGCTCTCTGTTTGAGTAGCTTTATGATTTTGTTTGTCAAAACAGAGGTTAATAAAAGTGACAAGAATATGTAAGACACTTAGTGTTAATAATAGGCCTGGTGGTGACTGGACAAGAAAAAAGCCATTTTTCAATAGGAATGTACTGATATATTTTAACAGGTACCAGTTACCTTTTGCTGTAACATCTGCCTCAGACTGTGTGGCTCAAACTAACTCTCATTTATTTAGCTCATAATTCTGTGAATCAACTGAGAATTCTTTTGGTCCTGGTCAGCTTTGCTAGTCTCGGTGTTGCTCACGTGTCTAGTCAGTTGGTAGATCCATAGGGGCTGGCTGGTTTATGGTGGCCTTAGCTGGGACACTGGATCCTGCAGCAGGCTACTCTGGACTTCGTCACATGGTGGCAGAGTTTCAAGGAGCAGCAAGCCCTAATGCACAAGCCTCTTTTAAGCCTCTGATTGTATCATATTTGCTCACTTCCCATGGGCCAAGGCAAGTCACATGGCTGAGCTCAGTGTCAGTGAGACATGGGCATTCAAGGCTGCAGGGCAAGGGGACACGGAGAGGAGGAATTTATGGCCGTGTTCGCAGTCTACAGGCTATACTTGTCAAGAAGTATAATCTTGAACCTACTGGGGCTCAGTAGTTTTCAGGAACTCAGGTGAAAAAAAATTATAATTATGTGGATGGCCCTAGGGTATGTAATCCATGTAATCCTTAAGGCCAGAGATCTCATACCAGCAGTTGATAAGAAGTAGGTTTTGTATTTCCTGTAGCATATTTCAGAACCTTTTTTTTTTTTGAGTCAGCATTTAAAATCAAGAGGTTTTACATAGAATCTGGGTTTCTGACTTTTGAAGAGAAGATAATCTGACAAAAATTGTCAAGAGCCAAGTAATAGTCATCTTTTCCATGAAGCCTGTGCTTTTCATTTTGCCACACTCCTTCCCGTCTTGCCGTCTCCTCAGCCCTGAGGCTGAGTGTCATCTGCCACTTGTCAGAGGAATTACACTGCTGATTTTCCCATAGCAGAGAAATTTCTGTCACTATTTCTAACAAAAGTGAAATAATGAAAGGTAGACCGAG